GGTACAAGCTCTCCCTCCTCTGCTAGGGCAGATCTGCGCGTCCCCCCCCCACCTTCAGGTACAAGCTCTCCCTCCTCTGCAAGGGCAAATCTGCGCGTCCCCCCCCCCAGCTAGCAATCCAAAACAGTCCAGTGGAGCCTAAGCAGTGGGTGTTGCCTTCTGACAAACCTCCGGTGATGTCAGGGGGTGTGGCATATGCAAATATGTTATGCTAATTAGTTATGCTAATGAGCTCCTTCACCTCTTTTTCTATGAAATGACCCCCGATGGCTATGCATCTGAAACTGATCTTCCTTGGTGGTTTCCCATTCACATAGTAACCATGGCCAACCCTAATTGGCGACCAAGTTCTGAAAAGCTCTGGTTAATTTGGGCTGTGCAGGCTGTAAAAGAGGCAGGGCCACGTCACAGTGGCCGATCTCCCGCTTGGCGTGCAGAAGGTCCCAGGTTTGATCCTCGGGATCTCCAGTTGAAAACCAGAATTGGATGGTAGATGATGTGAATGCCAGCCTGACGTGTTGGAGAGTAGGCCGGACTGAAAGCATTTCTTGGTTTACCTAACCAGGAGGTCCAGGGGTGGAGGCTGCCAGGCTGTTTTGGCTCGTGCTCTGGCCTTCACATTCCATTTGGGGTCTGCTTTGCGGTTTCAGAGACGGCGGTGAATATAGGCTTTGCGAGCCAACTCCTGTCGGACGACATGACCATCCTCGGGGAGACTGAGATCTGGTATGAAGGAGTGGGGGTGGGGGGGCAGGCCTGGCCCTGTGGGTTCCTGCTTGACCTTCCATTGCCAAATGGTCCACACTGCCCCACCAGCTCAGCTCGTGCTAGGGCTGCCGACTTCCAGATCGGACCTGGAGACCTCCCAGAATTACAACTGATCTCGAGACAACTGAGATCAGATCCTCTGGAGAAAGTGACGACTTAGGAATGTGGACTAGGGATGGCCCGGAAACACATTTCTGTGGTTTGTTTCATGGCTAAACCACAAACTGAACCACAAACTGATACCAACTGGGAGGCTGGTTCGCAAACTGAACAAGTTCATAATCAGTTTGCGTCCCCTGCTTTCTGCTCCCATCTGCTTTTCACCATTTAAACCAAATAGCTGAGTGGCGGGGAGCAGAAAGCAGGGGTTTAAAGAAGAAGAAGAGAAGAGATTGGATTTATACCCCGCCCTTCACTACCCAAAGGTGTCTCAGAGCGGCTTACAAACTCCTTTCCCTCCCCCTCCGCACAACAGACACCCTGTGAGATACGTGGGGCTGAGAGAGCTCTTGACAGAAACTGCTCTTTTTCAAGAATAGCTCTTATCAGAACTATGGCTTGCCCAAGGTCATCCAGCCAGGTGCAAGTGGAGGAGTGGGGAATCAAACCCGGTTCTCCCAGATCAGAGTCCACGCACTTAACCACTACACCAAAATGGCTCCAAACCATTTAAACCCCTGCTTTCTGCCCCCCGCCACTCAGCTGTTTTTCGTGAAGAGCAGAAAGCAGGGGTTTAAATGACTTGGAGACATTTAAACCCCTGGTTTCTGATCTTCACGAACTGCCATGAACTGCCTTAAAAATTTGTGGAAGTTTGTGGTGGCTTGTCAGTTCACAAACATCACTTCGTGAACTACAAGCTGGCCAAAATTCATCACAAACTTTTGTTAGTGAGCCAGCTCATACCCATCCCTATTGTGGCCTCTGTGGCATTATTCCCCACTGAGATCCATCTCCTCCCCAAACATTATCCACCCAAGGCTCCACCCTCAAATCTCCAGAAATTTCCAAACCCAGAGCGGGGAATACTAGCTGGCACAGAGAGAAGCCTGTGGCCATTTGCAGGTGGGAAGCAGGTGGCTGACGTTTTCAGAAAGCCTATTTAGGAGCTGGTTGGCCAGTCTGTGGCTCAGGAGCCCCCCCCCCCCCTCATTCTTCTGAACTTCTCTTGCAGTGAAATCCTCAAATCTTCCGGCAGTAGCGACAACAGTATGGCGGGCAGTGGGGAAGCCTTGTTTGGCTGTGACTCGCCTCAGCATTTCCAGGCATCCTTCATCCATGACAAGATGGCTTTGGTGGTCTCCGGCGACTTCTTAGTAAGATGGGTTTTTGTTTTGCTGTGCCTCCCATTACCAGTGCAGGTTCTTGAAGCGGGAATAAATCCACTGCCTGTTAGCGAACTCCTGAAGATCGTGTCCGTTTGGTGTTGTGGTTAAGTGCGCGGACTCTAATCTGGGAGAACCGGGTTTGATTCCCCACTCCTCCACTTGCACCTGGCTGGGTGACCTTGGGCAAGCCAGAATTCTGGCATAGCTGTTCTTGAACAAAGAGCAGTCTCTGTCAGAGTTCTCTCAGCCCCACCTACCTCACAGGGTGTCTGTGGTGGGGAGGGGAAGGGAAAGGAGTTTGTAAGCCGCTGTCCCTTGGGTAGTGAAGGGCAGGATATAAATCCAATCTCTTCTTCTTCTTTCTTCTTCCTCCGTAAAGAGAAGTGAGGTTTCCTGGCCTCAGAGAAAAACAGGAGGCAACAATTTAGCTATTAAGACCAGGGGGAAGGAGCAGGGGAGGGAAGGAG